GGGGCGGGGGCGGGGGCAGGGCGCAGGCGCAGGGTGGTGGCTCTCACTCTTCCAGGCGGTGCCGCCGCGCGGTGGCCTCCAGGCGGGCCATGGCCTCTGGGTCGTCCTTGCAGTGAGTCAGGTGGAGCGCCAGCTGGGGTGACGGAGGGGCCGGTAGGGGTTGAGGGGTTGAGGGGGTGAGGGTTTGAAGGGGTGATGGGGCGGAATTGCGAGGGCGGGGCGGCCCTGGAGGGTAATGCAGGCTGCCGCATGGACGTGCCCCCAGCATCCACGCTAGGTCCTTGCCACCTTTTCATGTACCAGCGAAAGCAAGCTACATACGCACTCACCCTCCCAAGCGTGGGCAGGGGTGCGCGACACGCCAGCACAGGATGCGCTTCCCAACACATGCACACGCGCCAATAGACAAACATGTGCACGTGCGCACGCGCACACACACACACACACACACACACACACACACACACACACACACACACACACACAAGCACACAAAGGTGCATGCACGCATGCACGCAAGCTTGCAAACACACAAGGTGCGCACACACGCGGACACACGTGCACGTCCATGTGCCCGCACGCATACACACACACACACACACACACACACACACACACACAAACACAAATGCACACACACAGTCATACATGTACATAGGCGCACGCACAAAATCACACACAATGAGGGCTGATCACAATATCAACCACAAAACAACAAGACTCTGAATCATTTCGTACACGCAACCACGCACCTCCATGACCGTGTCTTGAGTGCGCCGCAGGTACTCCTCCGTCGTCATGCGCTTGACACGCTCCTGCAGGGCCCTGCCCGAGCAGGCAGGCGGCGGGGCGCAGCGGACCGCGGGTGACACGACCCCGACACTTGCCAGCGGCTCGGCAACGCCTGTACGGGGCCGGGGCTGGCCCAGCCAGCTCAATGTGAAGTGCCGCAGGCTCATTGTCGCTGCCGCAACGCCGGCTGCAGTGCTGAGGTAACAGAGAGGCGGCTGTGCGTGGCACGCGCGCCGCGGCACTGCCATGCGACCGCCCCACTCTGCGCACGAACCACTCACGTGTCTGCCCAAATCGCGGCCAGCGCCTCCCTGATCGGCCCAGACAACACGCTTGGCGACGCAAGCGACGCATCCGCCATCGCCGCCGCCTCCTCCGCTGCCGCCACGCCACCGCCGCCGCCGTCGCCGCCGTCGCCGCCGCTGCCGGTGCCGCTGCTGCTGCCGCCGCCGTCGCCGCGCTGCTGCGGCGCGGAGAACGGCGGGCGCGCGCCCCCCATGGCTGGCGCCGCCTCAGCGGTCAGGCATGCAAGGTCTGCATTGAATGAGGCAGTGGCTCCTTGTCGCAATTGCTTTTGAATTGTTTGCAGCAATCAGTTGCAACTGCTCACATGGTGTGCCAGCAAGATGTGGCAGGGACTGCCGGCAGCGGCTGGCGGCTTCGAAGGTCGCAGGGCGCGCGGCACCGCCGCCTGCGAGCGGCTCGTCGTGCGAATGCGCCACTGCGCAGGCTCATGAATGCAGCAGTAGGCGCCTGCATGGCGGACGCGGTGTGCGCTGCAGACGTTGCGGGCGAACGGCGCGGCCCACCTGTAAGCACAGATTCCCGCATCGCAAGGGCCGCAATGCGAAGCTGCAGCTCCTTTATCTGAGCAGTCTTCTCCGCCACCTCCGCTTCCAGCGCCCCGACCCGCCCCTTCTCCGTCACGCGCCGCCGCGCGCCCGCGGGCGCTGCGCCTGCCGCTGCGTCGGCCCCGCCGGCGCGGGCGCTCGGCCCGGCGTGCGACAGGAGGGCGTGGGCTGCCTGCCACAGCGTCTCCACGTCTGCCGTCTCTATCAAGCCGCGGTTCCGTATCACGCAGTCTAGGGAGTGCATCTGCTGGCTCCACTTGGGGCCGGCAGTGTCCGAGACGGGGCCGGCCGGGCCGGGGCCCGCAAGGGCGGCGTCAGAGGTGACCGTTCGGGCCCCGTCATCGGGCGCATCGCCGCTGGTGTCGCCGCTGACGGCGCCGCCGCTGTGGGTGGACGGGACGCTGCTTGAGGTGCAGGGCGGGTCACTAGTTGGCGGGGCATCCCCCATCACGGTTGGGCTGGTGCAATTGCGCGCACAGGCAGGGGCTGCGCTGCAACGCCGACGAGTCACTTGCAGGCCACGGGGTTGGCGCTGGACGCTAAGATACACAAAGTGCGCTGTGAAAGCCGTGCTGTTGACATCTGCGAGCTTTTATTGTTTGTAGAGTGCATAGATCAAAGAGTGCAGCTGCGTTCACGGCTGCCTAGCTTGGCTTGCAGGTTGGCACGTGGTCGCAGTGTTCGTGAATTTCTGTGTATGACAAACCGCTCGAGGCACCGGTAAGTCATTTAGTGACGGCTTCCCACTGCGTCAGAGGCACACACGATTACGAAATGATCGGGTCGCATACGGTGTTCCGTGACACTGATGAGTTACATCTGGGCAGATTCTTACACATAACTTGGGCCGCACCTCGGCGCTCGCAGTCGACCATGAGCGCGTGCTGAGGTTGGCGGCTGAGGTGAATGTCAGCATGCACAATGCACAGCTCTGTTCACGCCCAGATCTACCTGCCCGCCGCCGCGGCCCCCGACGCCAGCTTGCCGCCCCCGCCTGTCGCTGCAGCCTGCGCCTTGACTGTGCCGGCGCGCGCGGCCGCCGCGAGCGTGCCGGTGCGGTCGAGCCCCATGGCGACCACTTTCCGCAGCAGCTGCACGCGCGGGTGGGCGGGCGGCGCGGAAGTCGCGGAGGCGGCATCACAGGCACTGCGACGTCACCAGGATCGCAGCTTCATGGAGGGCCAGCAAAACACACTCACACTGACGTCTTGCTGCCCGGTCACCCCTGGGCGGCGGCTGAGGTGACCCGGGTGCCCCTGAGAGTTCTGACACCTCCTCTTGTCCCAGGCACCACTCGCCTGCCAACGCCGCTGCCTTTGACACAGCATCTACGCATGCCCCCTTCGCACACACAGACTCGCGCTTCCCAAGTTTCGCCACCCCCTCACACGCCAGATCGGCGGGGCCGATCGCCCCCCCCCCCCCCCCGTTCTCGCCTGAGAATTGATCATCTTCTCGGTATCGCTCATGGGGGCGACCACCTTGAGCCGTGCGTTCTCCCGCATCTGAGACTCCAGCATTTCCTGAGGGGTTTTCGGGGTTTAGGGTTTGCGGTTTTTAGGGCCGAGGGTTAGGGCTGCGGTGCAGCTGGGAGTGTCCGTTGTGGGCCGGTGTGCGCCGCAAAGCCGCGGGAGGGAAGGGGAATTCGAAGGCGAGGCCCCACGCCACAGCGCTTCGAGCAAGGGGGGGCCGCCCAATTCATGCACGCCCAGGGGTGATGCAAGTCAATGAGGGGGAGGGCGTGTGCTGAACAGCTGCGACCCCATCGGCATCCGACACACATGTTGGGACCCTGCGAGGCCCTTTGACCACCCCCTCGTGCGCCATTCCGCTACAGGCCTCCCGCCGTACGCCCGACGACCCACACCGCAGCACATCCGCCGCCGTTCCCCGCCAGCGCCCCCGCAAGCGCCCCCCGCCCCCGCTCGCGGCCCCGCCCGCGGCCCCGCCCGCCGCGCATACCCTGAGCTGCTGCTTCTTGGCCCTCTCCGCCGCCAGCTCCTTCTGGCGCCGCGCCTGCTCCGCGGTGACCTGCTGCTGCAGCTCCGCCACCACAGACTGCAGGGCAGGGGCGGTCCAGGGGCGCACCAAGAAGTGCGTGAGGGCGGCGCAGTTGAGGCAGGGGGCTGGCTTTTTATGCGGAGGTCCCCTGACCACAACATAGCATGGGGGGCGAGCTCTGTCACGGGCAGCGAGCGTTGGCCGGTGGCGCGACAGCGGCCCTTGCCCGCTTGCTTCGCCAGGGGTGGCGCTGGCGGCGAGGCGGGGGGCAAACTCGTCTGTTGCGGCCAGGCCCTGTTTGCGACCGCGGCGGCGGCTGACGCACCAAGCGGGTGGGCACCACCCCCAACTCCCCCCCCCTTGCGCCCCACCTGCTCAGCTTTCTTCTCCTCCTCGTGACGCCTCCGCCGCTCCTCCACCTGGCATCAAAGGCGTCGCGGCGCGACGCGCCGGACGTCTTCAGCTGAGAACTTTGCCCCCGTTGAGCCCCCGTGCACGGGCCCCCTAGCTCCACCCCCGAACGAAGCGAAGACACCCCTACCCCCTGTACACCCGACCCCCAAAGGCACCCAACCCCCAGGATGCCCAACCCCTCACGACACGCACCCGACCCAACGCCTCCAGACATCCAAAACCCCAAAGACACCCAACCACGAAAAACACATTCAGCCTCGAAGAACACCCAAACCCCCCAGACACCCGACCCCCCACCTGGATGTCCAAATCCCTGGCCAGCACCTTGCCGCTGGCCTTCAGCGCCGCCTGCCGCCGCTCCTCCTCTGCTGCGCGCGCCTCCTCCGCCTCAACGTAGTACCTGGCACGACAACACACACACACACACGCGCGCGCGCATACACACACACATACACACAGGGGCGGCCAAGGAGGGCTGAGGGTCGCTCCAAGCCGCAAACGGCGTGCGACGGCAGCGCGCAGGACAAATGCGCACGGCTGCACACATTCCAACACGGGCTACTAATATGTCGGACTGTCAACACCTCAATCAACCGTAAGTCCGTAAAACAGAAAAAGGACAAGAACGGTCCATGCGGTTCTGAGCTGCCGCACCTCGTGTGATCACAGGCGCTCAGCCGGCTGCGGGCCACCGCCCTCCCCGCACCCTCAACAGTCCCCGCACCTGTCTATGAGCGCGGGGTCGATCCACCGCTTCGCCTCGGGCCGCGCCTGGGCCTCTTTCTCCTGCTTGGCCTGGGGAACGTACAGGTGGCGCCCCGCGTGTGGCGCGGCCGCAAACAAAGGCCCGCCGTCAGCGAGGCCAGCAGTGTCAGGCGCAGTCAAATGAAGAAATTTAGTACACTTTGGTACTCGCAGATACATGGCTTGCAGTAGCCGCAGCCTTGATCCGAATCTGCCTGCTGGCCACCTCTCATCCTTGATCCCCAGCCCCAGGTCTTAGGCCGCCCCCCCACCTGCCAGATCTTGAGCGCCTCCAGCTGCTCCTGCCGCCGCCGCTCCTGACGCTCCATCTCAACCGCATACTCCGCCATCACCTTGGAGCGACAACAAGAGCGCCGGGGGAGACGCGCGGACGCACGGACACAGACCATATGGAAATGTGTTCGTGGACAGCAAACAGCCTCGTGACCGACGCAGCGGCCGGAAGCCTTGCAAACCACCGTCGGCCTCACTAGCGGGCTGCACTCTCTCTTGGCCCGCCCCCCCCC